ACTTACCTCGCTCCGCAATCAAATCAAATCTCAACTGGGGCCTTTCCTCTAAAATCCGCTTCCAAACCAATTGAATCTAACCAAAATTGACTTACTATTATCAAACAATGCTAGGGAAATCAATTACAATAGATAAAACAAAGATCTTTACATTTTTTTCTAAAAAGTCAACAAAAGTCAACCACGGACCCGCTTGGTCAAAACTCGAGATTCGGACCAAAACTCAATTACCCATTCATTATGTGATTAATTTTGAAATCCGACCTCAATTTGAGGTATAAATCTCAATTTTATAAAAATTCTCAATTTTACCCAAATCCCTAATTTTCTATCATGATAGAGCATAAATTAAGGTTAGAAATTAGTGGGTGTTGGTAAAAATGGAAGAAAACGAGTTAAAATATACTAACCTACGAAGTGAGGATGAAATTTCTCTTCAAAATCGCCTCTAGGCCGAGCTTTAATATGAAAATAGTGAAAAATAAAGAAAATCCCGATTTTTAGAAGTTTAAAAGACTGGGTGTCAGGTGTTCATAAATAACGAAATGAATCTATACCAATTTTCTGAAAAACAAATCTGAACCAGGTAGCAAAAAAGTCAACCTACGGTCAAACTTAGGAATTCTTTAAACCTTCAAATTATTAGCTTTCAACAAATCATATTAAATCAAGTTAGGGACTTTCGAATTCGATTACGGGCATACGCCCAAGTCCCAAATCACGATACGGACCCACCGGGATCGTCAAAATACTGATCCGGGCCCGTTTATATAAAACGTTATCCGTAGTCAACTCAAATGAGTTTTAAGGCAAAATTTCATATTTTCTTAATTTTTTACATAGAACTTTTTCGAAAAAAAGACACGAACTACACACGCAAATCGAGAAAGGCTAAACAGGGCTATTCGAGGTCTCGGAATACAAAAATGAAGGCTAAAACTGAAAATGACCTATCGGGTCATCACATTATTTTATTAAGGTTAAAAAGGAAATCCTAAAATTGAAATGTTAATAAATATAAAAAGGCATCATTCTTTTTGAAATTGACCAAAAATGAAAGAGTCTCACATAAATTAGTACAGATAAATACTACTTTTGTCCCAATTCACTTGACACAAAATTTATGTTGCACGATTTTTCTTTTTTGTTTATCCTAAAAAAATGTTATTTTTTATATATTTTAAACAAATCAAATTCTCATTTTATCTTTAATGAGATGATTAATAGTAGAGAAATGTTAAAGCTTGTTTCAGATAAAATTTTTAAAAGTATGTTTTCTTAAATTTCATGTTAATTTAAGTGATTTTACATAAATTGGGACCGAGAAAATTATTTATATTTTCAATATTTTACTTTATATATCTATGTATAATTTCTCAAGCAGAACGGAAGTGCGCTCGCAATCAATACGCTTCATCTGCTCATATCTCTTCACAAATGGCATACAAAGGATATATATATATATATATATTTTTTTTATGTGAGCAGTATGACTTATCATTACAACTCCGCTTGTACGCGAGTTTGAGTTGAGGTTGAAGAGGTTTTAACATTTGATTTTTTGTTCAAAATTGATATTTATCTTGTATTATTTTCAAGCAATGAATATGCATATAAATTAATTTTTTGAGAATAACTATTTATTTAAATTTATGATTTTTTCAACAAAGTAGTGTGAATGACACCCCGGTAGGATAGTATCTCCGCCACTATTTATCACCCTACGCCTACAGCTCGAAAGGAAAATTGTCGCCTATATATGGGATTTAGAGGAGCAGGAAAAGCACGAAACAGGAATCAACCAAATGAGATTTTTGTTCGTTTGTATAATTTAAAAAGTGAAAAATGTATGGTCTGATTAACTGCTGTTAAACGGTCACATCTTTGGTGGTTGTATATTATAATGTATGGATCATATTCTTTCAGCCCTTTTATTGCCAACGGAAAACTAAAAGTGGGTAGGATAATGGAGTGTTGGTTAAGATTGGAATGTGCACGGGGTTAGCTTTTTGTAATGATTAATATGTGATATTTGCTTTCAAAGTTAAAAAAAGTTTTAGAAAACCATTTGTCTAAAACTAGTAGTTTAGAAACAAACCAAAAAAAATTAATCAAACAAAGCTGTGATGGTAAGTTGAATGAATTATCTTTTTAAATTGATTGTATAAAAAATAATACACAGTAGTAGTGTATTTCAACTTGGATCTAGCATATTACTATTGTTCTATTTTTCAAATCACTAATTCCACTCGTTGTGGGTTGCTACTTGTAATATTACCTTTTTATTGTCTTAACTTTTTAACATTATATATATAATATAAAGTTAATGTATCGGCGTATACATAGCGCAAAGTTGGGCCATCGGTTCAATTCTGAAACTCACTTCAGAACGCAAATAAATCAATATTGGAAGGGTCCTAAACTATTTTCTGATTGTAGTCGCAATTTAGCATGTTGATTGCTGCTCATTTAATACTTGATATTTGTTTCCTTAGCTAAAAGCTTGATTTGTTATGTCGGATTGTTAGTGAACTCATACTTTGAATACTTATCTAAATATGGTTCAGTTTTATGCCTTTTCCCGTGCATGAATGATCTTTCATTTGTTCAGTCTGCTAACAGACGTTTGAGTATTTTGTGAACAATAATTGTGAATTCATGTTTTATTAAACACATAGAATGATGTCACCTTATATGTTGGTATTCAACCTCTATATAAAAGGTATCTTCTTATGAATCCATATCATCATACCTTTGTTGCATTCTACTACTTCATCAGAATATTCTATTATTATTTTAAGTGGTTTATTCATAGATTATGCATTTCCTAAAGTTAACTTAACTTTATTTTTTCTTCTATTACTCAAAATTTGTTTATTGTATAAATTTACAATAATATTTTTGAGTAGTATTTATTTACTTCATATTATCTATATTGTCCGCTTTATATATATATATATATATATATATATATATATATATATATCTTCTATAGTACTGTTAAATTTACACAATAAAACCATTATTATCTATGCACAATAATACTTGCTGCAAAAAGATATCAATCATATAATTTTAATTTAATAAAAAAATATAAATGATATTTAAAGAAATCTTATGTTTTAACAATACTAAAATAAAAATAATAATTAAGCAATATATAAGATTTAAAATATTATATCGAATAATTAAAATTTATCATATCAAAAGTCATTTGAATTTAGTAATTAAATTAAGTACCCACCAACTTATATTTAAATGTTAAAGTTTAAAAAATTAGAAAATAGTATTTAATTAATAGCATAATTAGAAAATTATTATTTACTTACCAACATATGATGTAAGATATACATAAGAAATAAAATAATTAAATATTTTGGATAAAACATTCATCTAAAAATTGAATATAGAGGAATTATGTGAAAGATGCAATGATTAAAACTAAAGACTGTGTAACATATTAAAACAAAAAATAGTCTGGAAAACGTATATACTTTTCGAGAATGATAATAGATACGTTGACTAAAATAAATACGAGTACTGTTTTAAATTAAAGAAAAGATTGGTAAACAACATAGGACATATTGTGTATTGTTAAATAGTGTCTAACAGTAATTATGTGTTTGAAAATACTCAATAGGGTGAGGACGATTAACAGTAATTATGTGTTTGAAAATACTCAATAGGGTGAGGACGATGGATGAAAGACAATCACATTCTCCAGACGAAAGAAATCAAGCCAACAACCTATGAAGGGAAGGAATGACGGAAACGAAAGCGATCAATATCATGCACAAAAAACATAAAAGATCCAGGTAAAGATGTTTGATGCGAATTCCGGTAAGATTTTGGAAACCAAAACTGTTCAATATAATTCAACAGCCAGTAATATGCAGTCCAAGAATTACAATAGGCCAAGTGGCCCTGTGAATAAACAAACTCCCATCCCCCACTCCCCAGCAGCCCAACACACGAGGCCCCAACACAAGCACATCGCCAAACGTAGGGCGGGAACGGGTCCTGATGAAGTTGACATCAAAAAATCTGCTCGGCCGGCTAATGATGCCTATCAGGAGGCCCCTATCACTAGCCCAACCCCAGACCTATACCCAGCTAGGGATGTGGCCTTGGGCCACCACACCAATACCCAAACACCCAATGGAGTCCATACCCAATTGGATCCACCCAGGCCAAATAATTACCCCTGCCCAAATTCCTACGTGCCCCTACTCCTCTCCTAGTGGAGTGCTCTAATGGAAAAAACTCACCACACTCCATAGACACTCAAGTGTCTCACCTGAGAATTCACCCAATCTCAGGTGACATGACACCTTCCGTCCACTTCAGCAGATACCACATTAATTTCAAAACTAATTTATCAGATGCAATAATTGATCACCTTTTCACTGATCTAGATTTGACACCAAACGATGCCATCATGAGCCGGCTCGTTAACATAACCCTCACCCTTACCCAAAGAGAAAAATAAAAAAAATACAAAAATAAAAAAAACCCATCAGTCACCTACCATTGTGATGTCTATTCCACTGCCACTGGATCACTCACCAGCATCGTGGCTGGAAGTGGCGCTTCAAGGCCTAGCATACAATTTTACCCACGGAAATCAACAAGTAACCCTAATTGTTCAAAACTTTGCGCATTTGGCGAGGATAACGGTGGAGGCCCTAAACAGGGCCTTGGCAGCCTTTGGCCCAAGCCCGTGGCGGGTGATGATAAGCAACGGCAACATGCAACCCAATCTAGACCCACCAATGATCTACACCCTCATCTCCCAAGCTTTCCAATCAATCCCCTTCTTCCCAGACCCGGGAACGGAGGACCCAACAACGTCTCTAGTGTTTGTGACTATCGAGCCCCAATCCCATGAAACTCCATCACCTTTTGCTCCAATAGAGAAGAACCAGTAGCCGCCACTTGAAAACATTACAAGGGAGATAAACAAAGCCCTAGAGCTTCTAAAAAGAAAAAGCCTGTAGGAAATGGAGGAAACAACCTACGACCATCTATGCACAGGCTCTCTCCTATTGGACTCAATCAGAGCATTCGAGTTCAGTATGGAGAACAACGAAGTTCTGGTGCTGCTGTGTCCCAGGGCCCTGACTAAGTGTGGTCTGAGCCTGGTCTCTCACCACAGTCAGGTGTGACCAAACCACTCCTCAATCTGACTCTAGTGCTAAACATGAAGAACAGGAACCAAAAGCAATCAGTGAGGTCTCCTATGGGATGGAGAAGTCTCACATAAATCAGTCCCCCAACTGCCAACCAGTCCAAATGAATTTCATCATATGGAATGTTAGGGTGGAAACAACGCGGAGTTCAGGAGACACTGCCTTGACATGGTGCAGCTTCACAAACCACATTGCTGGTTCTGTTAGAAACTAAGATAGCTGACGATAAGAAACTGACTGAGGAGCTGCATTTCGATATGCTTATCCAGTCTCCGACCGTAGGGTTGTCAGGTGGGATTGTTATGATATGGAAAGAGGATTGTGTCACTGTTGATGAGGTATCTACTACCCCCCAGGGTATCCATGCCATGGTAAAGGTACTCCCATCCCATACTCTTTGGTTATTTTCAGCAATTTATGCTAGCACCATATTAGCTGATAGGAAATTATTATGGGATAGTCTTGTTACTATCTCTAAAAGTAATACTGGGAACTGGTTTATAGGTGAAGAATTCAATGAAGTCGTAAAAGCTAGGGATAAGTTTGGGGGTAACCCCATTAACTTAAGTCGTAGCAACCTCTTTTGGAACTGCCTCAATGAATGTAGGCTAGTTGACTTAGGTTACAAAGGCAGTAAGTACACGTGGACTAACAAAAGATACAAAAATAGGAGTAGTCTAATCTTAGAAAGGATAGATAGGTGTTTTGCGAATGACTGCTGGATTTCTCAGTACCCTGATGCTAGTGTTAACCATCTCCCTAAGACCAACTCAAACCACTGCCTGTACAAATAATGCTAAAAGAGGATTCTATTAATAACTCTAACAGGCCCTTCACGTTTGAATCAATGTGGATTAGCCACCCCTCCTTCCCTAGTATCATCAATGAGGCCTTCACCAATAACTCTCCCCTAATCCAATCAGCAAACACTTTCAAAATCCTTGTGACCTAGTGGAATAGACATACCTTTGGTAAAGTCTTCCACAAAAAGAGAAGTATCCTAGCCAGAATTGCTGGGATCCAAAAATCACCCAATTACCAGTTTAGCAATTACCTGCTGAATCTGGAAAGTAACCTGACCAGAGAACTTGACTCCATCCTCAAGAACGAGGAATACTTCTAGAAACTCAAGTCAAGGGTCAGTTAGCTAACTGAAGGTGATGACAACACTAGATTGTTTCACACCTCCACCTCAATAGGAGAAGAAGGGACATGATCCTGTCGCTCAAAGAGGACAATGGGAACTGGCTCTATAACCAAGGGGACATTAAGGCCTCTATAATGGACTTCTTTAAGAGACTCTACACTTTCTCCCACACCCAAGCTCTCATTTTCACTACCAGTCATCTAGACATGACCTATATTCTCCCAGACTGTCAAAGAGACAGCTTGGATAGGCCCCTTGAGGATAGAGAAATCAAAATGTACATTTTCTCCTTTAAACTTTTCATGGCTCTTGGCCCTGATGGGCTTCACCCATTCTTTTATCAAAGGTACTGGAGCATTGTGGGGAGTTCAGTAGTTGACTTCTCCAAGTCATGTTTTGACACACTCCATGGATGAGACCATGAACCAAACTCTCCTTTGTCTCATCTCTAAGTGTCCCCAAGCTACTATTCTCAAAAACTTCAGACCAATAGGGCTTTGTAACACCATCTACAAGACCATCACTAAGATCATTGTCAATAGGATCAAGTCTCTTCTCCCTCCTATAATTGGCCCCAGCCAGGCCAAATTCCTATCCTATAGAAGGGCCTCAGACAATGCCATCATTGTCCAAGAATACATCACCCATTTTGGGAAAATGAAAAGGAAACAGGCTCATATGATTCTCAAAATTGACTTAGAAAAAACCTTTGACAGGCTGGAGTGGTCCTTCATGAGAGACACACTGCATGCTTTCAACTTCCCACGTGGGCTAACTAAGTTAATCCTATCCTACATTAGCTCATCAAACATCTCCATCCTAGTGAATGGTGGCGAAACTGACACTTTCAAGCCTTCTAGGGGGATCAAACAAGGGGACCCAATCTCCCCTGACCTTTTCATTATGTGCATGGAGATGCTCTCCAGGTCAATTGATAAAGTTGTTCAGGATAAACAATGGCTCCCTATCAGTATCAGTAGTTCTGACCCAAAAATTTCTCATCTTTTCTTTGTTGATAACATTACATTGTTTGCAAAATCAAACATTAGGAACTACAACACAATCTACTCTATCGTGCAGTTCTTCAATGAGGCTTCTGGGCAAAAAATCAACCTCACCAAGTCCAAGGTTCTCTTCTCTTCTAACATAAAGCCTGACACAATGGAATGTCTCACAAATACCCTGTCAATCCAAGCTACTACATCCTTTGGGAAGTACCTCGGGTTCCCTATGTTCCATAGGAGACCCACAAGTAGTGACTTCCAATTAATACTAGACAATATGCAATCCAAACTAGCTGGCTGAAAAACAAATTGTTTAAATATGACTGGAAGAATTATCCTTGCCAAAGCCCCCCTCAGAAGCATCCCAAGCCATGTTATGCAATACATCAAATTGCCCACCAAGACTACCAACCAAATTTATAGAACTCAGAGGAATTTTATCTGGGGCACCACTCCAAACAAGAAAAAAATGCACCTACTTAGCTGGGACAACGTCACTAGGCAGAAGTCTCATGGTGGGCTGGGTTTGCAAAAAGTTGAGTATAAGAATAAAGCCTCCCATGCTGGGTTGGCCTGGAGGATTTACCATAAAACCTCCAGTTTATGGGCCAGAGTCCTAATCTCTAAGCACTATAACTGGAATCATACCCCTAAGAAGCCCAAATCTCCAACCTTGCAATGTATTCTAAAATGTTGGGATACATGCAACAAGGCCAATAGATGTGTTGTCCACAAGGGAAACAAGGTGAGCTTCATCAATGATGCCTGGATCCTAAACCAACTAGCATTTAGGGACATGATTAAGGGTCCTTTGACCCAAATGATATGCTACCAAAGTGGATACTATCTACAATTCTGGGAACTGGGATACCTCATCCATCTCCATAGACATCCCTGAGAATATTACTAACTTAATAAAATCAACCTTCATCCCTACTCACTCTGCCAAGGAAGGCATGCTAATATGGTGGTTGACTCCAAACGGGTCTTTCACCACCAAATCATCATATACATTCCTTAGCAGAAACAATGAGAATCTGTTGAAAGAGGAGGAAGGTAACTTCAGTTGGATTTGGAGGTTAAAAGTTCCAGACAAAATCAAAAACTTCATCTGGCTGCTTGCACAAGATATGCTACCTACTGGAGCTTTCCTGCACAAAATTGGGGTTAATTGCAACCCTGAATGCTGTTTTTGCTCAATAATACCTGAAACTAGTGACCACATCTTCTTTGAATGCCCCAATGCAACCCAATTTTGGCATGAACTATTAGCCAAGGGAACTACTAAAAGCCATCAATTGAATCCCATCTTCTCATCACAACTTTGGCCAACAACCTGGAACTAGCTAAAGAAACTGTCTTTTAACAATATAATCCCCTGGGAAAACATCCTTCCCTTCTGCTTCTGGCACATCTAGCTAGCAAGAAACCACAACCTTTTCAATAATAAGAAAGATACCATCTCGCCTAACAACACCATCTCCAAATCAACAGAGTACTTTATATTAGCGCAAAAAGATGTTATCAGGAATCCATTCCATACCCGAGTTAAATGGGAGCCCCCCATGAGGGGACACTATAAACGCAACACGAATGGGGTAGCCAAGGGCAACCCAGACATTGGGGGAATTGGTGGGGTATACTGGAATCATAATGGGGATTGTATTATGGGGTATATGGAAAATATACCACACACCACCAATACCATGGCAGAACTAAAATCACTGCTAAAGGGTCTCCAAATAGCAGAACAAAATTGATAGTTTCCTCTAGACATAGCTATAGATTCAACTGAAGTAATGAAAATGCTACTCAGAAGCAATATAACTTATGATCCTATGATTTGTGATTGCAGGTTATTGATGCAAAGGATGAAAGGGGTGGTGGTGAGACACAGATTCAGGGAGCAGAATAGAGTGCCTGGCACACTGGCAAAGGAGACAACAAATTTAATTTTTTTTTAGGTAGAACTACCACGCTAGAAGTTCCTTCGATGTTTGCAAATGATGTATTTTGGGTAGATATCCTAGGAACTGAAGTAGTTAGAAATTTTTTGGCATGTAATATTAGTACAATTGAACAAAACATGGTTGTTTTATTGGAACTGGAGTACCCCCAGTTAGACAGTAATCTGCAATATAGTCTTTAGTTATATATATATAATTTTCCCTTTGACAAAAAAAGAGTATGTAAAAAGATACAATAATTAAAACTAAAGACAAGGTGAATATATTAAATTGAAAGTTGTATAGATTTATATATACCTTTAGGGAATGCCAACGGATGCGTTTGTGGATAATAAATTTGCGTCAAGAAAAATAATCGAGATCGAAAAGTATTGCAACAATCCTAGTATTTGATTTCAAACAATATGAGTATTACAATCTCTATGATTCCTCTGATTCTTCTTTCCAACAATAAATAAATTCAAGGGCCTTTGAGCTAGATCTTAAATTTGAGTTTAATTGGATTTATCCATCACGAACACTTTGATGATCGCCATGAACAGTGATAAGAACAAGTAATCTTGATCTTGAATACCTTATATTTGATTTCGTTCTTGATCTTGAACTTGATTTATTGAACTTGAACTTGATTGTGTTAGAGAAATTTGTGGCGTTTGATCCACGAGCTTTCTTTTGCTTCTTGTTATAATTTATGGTGGTCTTTTCTAAGTTATGAAGACCCCTATTTATAATTGTAGAAGAGAAGAGTTGTGATGAGAATAAAATCTTTTTGACCAATCATATTAAAGCATGACAAGGTCGCATTTGATTGAAAAGAACATGTCACTTGCACATGTGGCACAGTTTCATTGGTCTTTTAATTTGACTTGGCATGCTTTGTCATTTTGATATGTGGCATGATCATATTGACTCTGCCATTTGACTCGTCATGCCACATCATTTGACACGTGGCACCAAATTGGGTATCACGACCCAAAATTCCAACCACGGGACTGTGATGGTACCTAACATCCGCTTGCTAGGCATGCCGACACTAGCTAATCAATTATTTAATTTTTAACAGTTGAAAAGCAAATGATCAAGAACATAATTCTGAAGTACTTGTAGTATATTAACCTGAAACCAACATTGTCTAGTCTAAATCCAGAAACTGGTGTCATAAGTACATGAGTCGCTGTACTACAAACAAGGTCTGAAATAAAATACAACTGTCTGAATGAAGTAAACAGTATAAAAGATAAGAAGGGGACTTCAGGGTCTGTAGACGCCGTGCAGCTCTACCTCAAGTCTCCGAATAATGACAGTCTGAGCAAACCTTCACTAAGCACCGCTGGGACCAACACCAAAATTTACATAAGAAGTGAAGAAGTATAGTATGAGTACAACCGATCCCATTTACTCCGTAAATACCGAGCCTAACCTCGGCGACGTAGTGACGAGACTGTAACAAGGCATTCACTATAAACCTGTACGAGTATAAGTAAAAACAATAGTAGAATAGAGAAACAATGATTAGCATGAAAACCAGAACATGAAATACATAATAGAGGGCCCTAGAATATCATCTATGCTCAAATTCACAACACAACATCGATATGGAACCAATAGCAAAGAACAATAATAATATAACTTCTCTGTTGCGGTGGGCAACCCGATCCCATATACAATATCAATAT